ACAGAGGAGAAAGAACGGAGAAAAATAGAACCGGAGGGGAAGAAAGCGCGGGAGAGCAACGTTTAGTGGGACGCCGCAGAAACCCGGTAATTAGACACTATTTGCACCACGCATGTAAGACGTACACGGAGTCAGCATGTGATCTTAAGCTTTATACACACAAGACACAAGAATTATGCCTAATATGAAAGCATCCGGCAAACAAACACACACACAGCGCGGACCGCGAACCAAACAGGCTTACCCGAACGCGATTTTATCAGCCAAAAACAAAGACGAGAGAAATCAGGCCAAGGTGCACGCAAGTGCGGCGCTACGCCGTCGTGCCAATACAAACGAGTGGAAGACATGCGCAGCGCCACAAAACATGCAGACGAGCGTATTTCGTAACGAGCCACACGGCGAGCGATATCCCGTTTACAATAAACGCCCGAGATGAAGTAGAAGCAAGGAGCGAGAAAAAAGTCCGGACACGATCGCTGGACGGGTTAAGCTGCTTACCCGGACTGCTTCAACCCCGTGCGCTGGACATCAAAGTCGTTTCTCGTGTTCCTTAGGCCCTGCTGTTTCTGCTTCACGAGCGCGTTTTATGCGCTACTTCGTCAGCGTCAATGACAACGCTGGAAAAGCGCATTCCATTTTCGAGCAGAGACACTGCGAATCTGATGATGCTTAAACGACTTTACACATCTCGCTTATAGTCGATAGTCGGAACCTACTTCGGGCGGCAAAGGCAAACGCCCACAAATGCTAGCACTATGGCGGAAATCGATCTTCGCCTTGCGCGTTGCTTCGGTGCTGTCCATACCGCATTACGTATTCGGTTAGCAGGCCATATTATTGAAATTTCGAATCGGGGAATGCGAACTCAGACGTCGACGTGGAGGCGACACCTGTACAGACGCGCATGTATGTCCAAACACCTGCCGATACGAGCGTGATTCTAAACAACGTTGCTTACGCCTATACTCTGCATCGCGAGCAGTTTGTTGGTGGGGCGGGTGGATCAACGATGTTTTCGCTGGGGTACGAGGCTACGTGGATGACACGTCAAGCCTGAGGATGCTCGTTCTACTCTAAGTAAGTAGGAATATTGTCGCTATATCGAACTAGTATATATATATTATATTTATATAGTATATAGATATATCGCAGTAGCTATCACGCGTCCGGAACGTTCGCCTAGCTCCAGGGCTATCGCGTCCGGACAGCACTAACACGTCGATCGCGGCGACTAGCTTACACGCATGATTGCCGCAACGGGACGCCTTCTGCTGCCCCGTTCTTCCTTCATCCTGTCCTCTCTCGTTCTCTCCTCTCTCTTACACCACACGCCCACAGCTCTCTCTCTCTTCTCTCGTCGGCTTCTCTCTCTCTTTCTCTCGCTCTCTCTCTCTCTCTCACACACCACACACAATTCTCTCGAGGCTCTTCTTCGCTCTCCTCTTCTCTCTCTCATCTCTCTCTCTCCTCACACACACACACACACCTCTGCTGAGGCTCTCTCACTCTCTCTCACGCATACACAACATACACATTTTCCATTCCCTGTTCTCTCTCTCTCTCTCTCTCTCTCTCTCTACGCACGGACACACACACACACACACACCACACACACACACACACACACACACACACACACACACAACACGCCAATCACCAGAGTGCCCCATTGCGCAATCATGCGTGTACGCTGTCGCAAGCTCACTGTGTGAGATGGATCTCGGGGCGTAGGCTAGCCGCTCCTCGTCCGGAACGGTCAGGTTTCAAGGGTGTGATGCCTCGTTTCTATCTTAAGTAATCACGCTTATTATTATTCGAGAAGCTATAGTTTTGTTCAGTTTTATGTCTCCCTTGAGTCTACCCATGACCTTAGTACTTCTTTATTGTCTTCAATTTTATTTTCCTCTTGTTCTGCCGCGCTCACCATTTCGCATAGAGCCAGACGTTAGCTGACGCTGCGGTGTCCTTTTGCTTTTCTTTTAATTCTGGCCTCTTTCATTACTATAACCTTAAACTTGTTTTTTCTCATGAGATTCTCAGATTTCTCTCTCTTTCTCTCTCTCTCTTCTCTCTCTCTCTCTCTCTCTCTCTCTCTATATATATATATATATATTATATATATATATATATTATGTTATATATGTTGTGCATGTTGCCCCGTGCGCGTCACTGTGTGTGTGTATACTGAGCAGAGTGAGAGAGCAGATGGAGTAGAGCAGACAGGAGAGAGACGAGAGAGAGAGAGAGACGAGAGAGGAGATGAGAGTGAGAGCAGAGCGAGAGTGTGTTGTGCTGGCGTGGTGTGTGTGGAGCGAGGCGCGTTGTGTGTGTGTGTGTGTGTGTGTGTGTGTTGGTTGTGAGGGTGTGGTCGTGGTCGTGTGTGATGTGGTGTGTGTGGTGTGTCTGATGTGTGTGTGAGCCTAGTTCGTCGGTGTGCGCCTGCGGGGGGATGGGGGGCGTTGCGGGGGTGGGGGGGTGGCGCGACCGGGACCGGGGCGTCGCGCCCGGGGTCCGAGTTGGTGGTGACGGTGGTGCGGTACCGGGTCTGGTGGGGTGTGGCGTCCGTCGCTGGTGCGCTTGTCGCTGTAGTGAGCGCGGGTTGGCGGTGGGGGCTTGGTGTGTCCAGTGTGTGTGTGGTGTGCTGTCGGTGTTGTGGTGTCATTTGCTGTGCTGTGGTGTTGTGTGGTGTGTACTGTGTCGTGGTGGCGGGTGTGGGTCGTGTGGTTGTGTGCGGGCGGTGCTTGCTTGGTGACTGGTATGTGGTGTGTGTAGGTGTGTGCGTGTGTGCTGTGATGTATGTGGGTGGTGGCGTGGCTGCTGTGTGGGGTGCGTGTGAGTGTCGGTGTGTGGTCGTAGTGTGTGGGTGTGCGTTCCGCTCGCGTGTGGTGCTGTGTATGTGTTGGCGGCGGGGGCCGGGCTTCTGCGGTGTGTCGTCGCGTGTGTGTGGTGTATAGTATATATAATATATAATATAGTATTTATTAGTATGTGTGGTGTGTGTGTGGGTGTGTGGCTGTTGTAGTGTGTGTGTGGCAGTTAGCGCGGCGCGCGGCCGCGCCGTGTGGTGTGGTGCCCGGGGAGCGGGGGCCGTGCGGCCGGCACCATCGGGGCTGTGTGTGTGTGTGGTGGGTGGGTGGCGGTGGGTGCCTGGCCGGTACAGGACGCGGGTGTTAGTGAGGTGCCGTGCGTTGGTCGTGTGTGTGTGCGGTGTGCGTGCGTGTGTGCGTGTGTATATATATATATATATATATATATTATATATATATGTGCCTGTGTCGTGGTGTGTGTGTGTGTGTGGTGTGTGTGTGTGTTGTTGTGTGTGGTGGTGTGTGTTGTATATTATGTTATTATATATATAATATATAGTATTATTATATATATATTGATGTCGATGTAGTGTGTGTGTGTGTGTGTGGTGTGTGTGTGCTGTGTGTGTGTGTGTCTGTCTGTGTGTGTGTGTTTTGTGGTGCCTGTGTTGTGTCTGTGTGGCGGCATTGTGTTGGCGTTGTGCTGTGTCTGTGTGTGTAGTGTGTGCTGTGGATGTGTGTTGTGCTGTGCGCTGTATTATATTATATATGATACTATTATATATATATATATATGTGGCACTGTGTGTATGTGTGTGTGGTGCGTGTTGTATTCTATCCAGAGCCTTTCCATCTCACCTGTAGCCCAGCCAAAACTTCTTTTTTTCCCTCGTTTTGTTTTATTTCACCGATCGCCCTCCATTCTCGTTCTTGATGCTATACTTCTCTCGTTCTGTCTCGATTTCATGGTGATTATTTAAGATGGGTCGTTACGGGTATGTTCAGTAATTGTCTAATTGATATACGGTAAAAAAGCATGTGAATGCTTTGTGCAAGTCAATTAACGTTCATGAATAATATGTATATATACAATTGTATTTACTTATAGGCATGATGATCGTGTTGGCACTGTGTTGGATTGTATATTGTTGGATTCTAATGTTGTTTTATTACCAATATACTATACATTTTAGCCATATAGTTATAAGGTATAATTACACCGAAACCAATCCATCAATTCTGCAATGACAGTTTTTTTTACATCGATGAATTTTTTCTGAAATTATAAATTACATTTTCCTACATTTCTGCGTTAAATAAATAAATATAATAAATATTAAATAATAAAAAAAAAACACATTTCGTGTTCGTACGTTTCTGCACTGCAGGGTAAGGTCAGCTATGCTGGTGAGAATGTTTCTGGCAGCCGCTATTGGATTCGCTATTTCGGAAGTTTTAGCACCCGGATCCATGTTTCCTTTCTCAGTTATGTATGTAACAGCTGTCGTACACATGCTAGCTTTATTTCATGCCGAAGCTATGTCATTTATACAAATGTCTGCTTGCCGTGCGTGCGTGCCGTGTCGTGCGTGTGTGCGCGTGCGTGATTATGTGTGTGCGCGTGCGTGTGGTGTTTTGTCGTGTGCGCGCCTGCGCTGTGTGCGTGGTGTGTGGGCGTGTGTGACTGGCTGTGTTGTGCGTGTGTGTGCGTGTGTGTGCGTGTGGTGTCGTGTGGCGTGTATGTGTGTGCGCGTGGGTGGTTTTTGTGTTGTGGGGTGCGCTTGAGTGGATCGTGTAGCTCGGCGCGGACGCCTGCGTGTGGGCGTGGTGTGTGGCGTGTGTGTTGCGCGGTTGGTGCATGCGCGACTGCGCGGCACGGGCGTGGGGTGACCGTCCGGTGGTGTGGCGTGTGTGTGGTGTGTGTGTGTGTGTGATGAGTGTTCGTGTGTGTGCCTTGCTGTGTAGGCCCGGTGTGGGTGGGCACGGCGCGGCCGTTTGTGTGTCGTTTATCCGCCCCCGGGGCCGTGCTCGTTGATTGTGTGTGTGGTGTGTGCGTGTGTAGTGCGTATTGTGGTTGTGTGTGTGTGTGTGTTGTGTGTAGGTGTGTATGTGTGTGTGTAGTGCGCGCGCGCTGTGATGGGTATATGTGTGTATCCTGTTGGGTATAGTATCGATTTCTTACTACTACAGCTGACACAGAACTGTCCCCTCGTGACCCAGCCTGGATTGGCGCTTGGTGGTTGGGTTTCCTCATCATTGCCATCGTACTCTGGATCGTTGCCATACCAACGGCGATGTTTCCTAAGCGGTTGCCAAGCGCGCCGGAGCGTCAGGACGCGATGGTGGACGAAGCCACACGAAGACTAACACGGCTCTCACTAGATGGCGCTGATGAAAGTACGCTAGTCAAGATACTGACCACCCATCCTAAAGGTAAGGTTGACTTCAAGCGATGTGTAAAACTGCTAGCGAGAACTGTCAATTTTTGCTAAAGGCTAAACAAAACGTGTATTCCCAGGAATAAGGAGTTTGCGAAGGTCGGTTATTATATATACATCCACACACTACTATGCATACACACAAACGACACACACACACAACACTACACACACAAACACACCACAACACACACACACACACACCACAGCGAGAGATGAGAGAGCAGAGACTAGAGGGGAGGGATGTAGATGGGCGAGTATATTAGTATATATATATAATATATATATATAGAGACGAGAGATGAAGAGAGAGAGGAGAGGAGAGAGAAAGAGAGAGAGAGGGAGAGGGGCGAGCAGAGAGACGAGCGGAGCGAGAGATGGCCGGATATAGTATGATATATATATATATAGAGAGAGAGAGAGAGAGAGAGAGAGAGAGGGACATCTTTTTCATATTTTGTCTACGTTTCACACTTTCTACCTTTCCTTTACGCAGCTTTGGTTGACGCGTTGTTGAGACTTGTGAGAAACAAGACTTACATGCTCGTCGTCATAGCAACGATCTTTGATCTATACGTCATCGCTTGCTACTTCATCTTCCTGCCGAAGTATTTAGAAGCACAGTTTAACATACCTGCTTACAAGGCCAGCATGTACACAGGTAAACCAGTCAATGCTTTATAGCGAAATGGATAGTAATAATAATAATAATGATAATAATAATAATAATAATAATAATAACAAGACAGAGAAAAAGAATCATCATCATTGTCGTTATCATCATCATCATCATCATCATCATCAGTATCATCATCATCCCATCATCATCAACAACAACATCACCATCATCATCACCTTTGTTATCAACATCATCATCATTATCATCATCATCCTTTTTATCAATACTATTATTATTATCATCATCATCATCGACATCATCATCATCCCCATCATCATCATAACATATGATAACTATGCATTGTATTCGTACAGGCACGATCGGCATGCTCTCTTCGTGTCTCGGCATTGTAGGAGGCGGTTACTTCATGAAGAGAGTGAAGGTGCAGCCAAAGGGAGGCATCCTGATGATACTGACGGGATGTGGGATCGCCATCATCACGCTAACTATCCTACTCTTCCTGGGATGTGATAACACGGCGTTCGCCGGGGGAAGAATGACGGACGACGGGTGACCATTGTTTGTCTGTTTGTTTGTTTGTTTGTTTGTTTGTTCAAGAGCATTAATTATTACGTGCGAGTTTTGTTTCACTTTGTTCCATTGTTTTTGTTTGTTGGTTTGTTTATTTGTTTATTTGTTTGTTTGCTTTGCACGTCTGATTGTTTGTTTGATTGTTTGCATGACTGATTGTTTGCTTGTTTGCTTGCATGTCTGATTGTTTGCTTGTATGCTTGCATGCCTGATTGTTTGTTTGATTGTTTGTATATATGATTGTTTGTTTAATTGTTTGCATGTCTGATTGTTTGTTTGATTGTTTGCGTGTCTGATTGTTTGTTTGTTTGCGTGTTTGTTTATTCGTCTGTGTGTTTGTTAGTTTAGGAAGAATTGATTTTGTTTGGTTGTACCACAGAGCATTGTAATGTTTTAAATAGCGAAGGCCTAATGCACGATGCCCGCACTCTAAGATTTTCACATGTACACAACAGCAGAGAGGTAGATGTAGTACAAGAAATTATAATATGTACAAATCAAATGGGTACCAATGAAGACAGTTGAGTAGTAATATTTGATCACAGATATACAGTGTCATAAATTTAAAATACAAACATTTATGACAGAATGTCTATTTGGCAAAAGCGATGTTTCATCATGACAAATCAAAATACACGTACAGAACACACACATATCTATCCTATCTACCTCTCTATCTATTTACATATGTATTATGTATCTATCTATCTATCTATCTATCTATCTATCTATCTATCTATTCTTCTATCGTATCTATTATCTACTCTATCTATCTCTCTATCTATCTATCTATCGATCTACTCTATCTATCTATCTATCTATCTATCTATCCTATCTATCTATCATATCCAGTCTTATCTATATATTTATTTATATCTCATCTCTATACTTATTAATAAGTCAATAATATATAGAATATTATATATATATATCATAAGAACGGCATGACTACGTGAAATAATGCTCTCTCTTTGAACCTTGCACATCTTATCTGAGTTTGTTAGCTTTCGCGTATGATCTGGTCATGCAAACTGTAGTTTGT